AGAGAGAGAGAGAGAGAGAGAGAGAGAGAGAGAGAGAGAAGATCCAATCAACACTGAAGGACACGAGTGTGTGGGCACCGCTTGGAATCAGCTAGAAATTATCCATTTAATTTTTGCAGAGAGAGAGAGAGAGAGAGAGAGAGAGAGAGAGAGAGAGAGAGAGAGAGAGACCTTTGGGAGACCTTTGGATAGTTGGCTCTGGCTCCGGGCTCTTACTGGCCCAGTCCCCATCTGTGGGCTCCTCTACTGAGTTGTCTCCCAGGTGCTGAGGAGAAGAGAGGTCGTTTAACGCAGGGCACAGACCTGGACCTCTGATTGTTGGGGTTGCTGGTGCCAACTGGTATAGTTGGACAGCAAGGAAAAGGCAGGATGGGGTCTGGCTTCTCTCTGAGCTCCAGACTCTGTGGAAGACCCTCAGGGGGAGATGGGGCTTTTCCTATGTCCCCTCTTTCTGGCTTGTCCTTTCCTATTCTGAAGCCATGGTGAAGATCTCTAATATACACATAACTGGCAGCCCCGTGTATTTCCTAGCTCCTCCTAGTTCCAGGACCCATGAGGTCCCTGTCACCACATAACACGGGAGCTGGACAGGGTGCTGGCTGTTATCTCCTTACTGTAGGATAGAAAGTCCTGGAAGATGGCCCAGCCTGGGTCTGCTGATCCCAGTATGAGCTGTCACTCAGGGTGTCATTGAATGCCTCCACTCCAGCTCAGTCACCAAGAGGACTCTGGGATCATGGACTGGCTTTGTGCCTCAGGTGGCCCTAGGTCTCCCATCCCTAATGCAAAACAGCCCTCTCCAGACAGGACTCAGTATAGGTGGGATTCTAGCTAGGTGGACCAGGCCCTGCTCAAATCATATAAATCCTAGGAATGCATCCAGGTGAAGCCTATGCCCTCAGAGAGGAGGACATGGTAAATCAGGAAGATCAGGAAGATCGTGCCCCTTCCTAGACCCCCAACAGACACTTCTTCCCTCGCCCCCTCTTCAAGCTACTTACCCCCACCATGGAGCATGGCCCCCATGATGGAGGGAAACCATGAGGTCTCACTGTTGCTGGCCTGGAAGTCACGCTGCAGATCAGTGAAGAAGACGCCGATGCAGGAAGGGAAGCTTACAGTGAGGCCCTGGGTCACCAGAGAGGCTATCAGGACGACATAGGCCCACCTGCCATCCGCTTGTTCAAGGGCCCGGGGCATTCTCAGCTACTGGTATTGCCACAGCCTTACTGGTACTTTGTGACCGCAGCCTGGAAGGGAAGAGAATGCCCCTTGTGGTTGGCGGGCTGCCAGCCCTCCTCTGGCCCACCTGCTGCTCTGCCTGGGTGACTGAAACTGCTTCTTCCTTATGCTCCAGCCCTAAGTATCAAGGAGGGGTACCGCCCCCTGGGAGGTGACAAGAAGCCTTCACAGTGGCCTTGGCATTTTTTACCCCACTTTCCAGGGACAGCTTGGCTGGAGGTGGCAGGGGTGGGGCAGGCAGTGACCAATGGTACAGGTAGGGCAACAGAATTCTCTCTAGTGATTGCATCACCTCATAAGAACCTTCTAAAGCACTTGATAACTGTTTCAGGAGGATCGGACCATGGGCCTGTAAAGTTCTGATGTCTCCTAAAGTGGATCTGTTTCCAAACTTCCATTATGAGCTGTCTGCATACCAGCACCAACTTTCCTCACACCAGGAAATCAACCTAAGTTTACCACGAGCCAGCAAGCTGGTGCAGAGGGCACACACACCAGCTCGGCAAGGGCAGCTGACCTGCAGACTTACAGAGAGAGCCCTTTGAAACCACCTTACAACACTCCTTTGACAAGGTGCTGAAGATCAAGAGTCGGGCTCCACGGCTGTGCTGAATCCTGTTGCCTGCAAGGGACTTTTTCTGAGCAACCCCACACACTTACACAGGTACGGATACAGGCACGGATACATATACACATATACAGTCCCACACTGGTATACAGACTCGTTCCAAGATACACACAGACATACATCTCCCTGATGTACACACAGACACACACACACACACACACACACACACACACAATCTACCCCGTCCTCTCCAAATCACAAAATATACAGATACAGAGATACAGTCAGCCGTATCTCAGTTCGAGATCACCACCCAGGCTAAGTCCCCCTCACCGCCCCAGTGACATTCCTTTTCTGACTCTCCTGTTCCCAGGTGTCTCCATTCCTTTCACACTCTGGGTGGTAGGCAGGGTGTGAGTGGAAAGAGACTGTCTAGATTTAAGCAATGGACCACATCAGCTGCTGTTCCCAGAAGACCCCCTCCCTATCTTTTTATTTTTGGAATCTAGGAACTTCAG